TGCAAAGGGTTCCTGAGCCTTTAAAAGGTCTCTCAGTCTGGTTCAGTAGGAATCACACTCATGGGAAAGACTGCTGACCTGACAGTTGTGCAGAAAACCATCACTGACACCCTCCATAAGGAGGGGAAGCCTCAAAAGGCAATTCCAAAAGAAGTTGGATGTTCCCAAAGTGCTGTATCAAAGCACATTGATAGAAAGTTATGTGGAAGGGAAAAGTGTGGAAGAAAGAGGTGCACAAGCAGCAGGGATGACCGCAGCCTGGAGAGGATTGTCAGGAAAAGGCCATTCAAAAGTGTCGGGGACTTTCACAAGGAGTGGACTGAGGCTGGAGTCAGTGCATCAAGAGCCACCACACACAGACGGATCCTGGACATGGGCTTCAAATGCCGTATTCCTCTTGTCAAGCCGCTCCTAAACAACAAACAACATCAGAAGCGTCTTACCTGGGCTAAAGAAAAACAGACCTGGTCTGTTGCTCAGTGGTCCAAAGTCCTCTTTTCTGATAAGAGCAACTTTTGCATCTCATTTGGAAACCAAGGAAACACTGCAAGATGCTTGAAGTCCAGTGTGAAGTTTCCACAGTCTGTGTTGATTTGAGGAGCCATGTCATCTGCTGGTGTTGGCCCACTGTGCTTCATTAAGTCCAGGGTCAACGCAGACATCTACCAGGAGATTTTGGAGCACTTCATGCTTCCTTCCGCAGACGAGCTTTATGGGGATGCGGACTTCAATTTCCAGCAGGTCTTGGCACCTGCCCACACTGCCAACAGCACCAAAACCTGGTTCAATGACCATGGGATTACTGTGCTTGATTGGCCAGCAAACTCGCCTGACCTGAACCCCATAGAGAATCTATGAACCCAAGAGCTGAAGGCCGCTTTTGAAGCATCCTGGTCTTCCATAACACCTCAGCAGTGCCACAGGCTGATAGCTTCCATGCCACGCCGCATTGAGGCAGTAATTGCTGCAAAAGGGGCCCAAACCAAGTACTGAGTACATATGCATGCGTATACTTTTCAGAGGTATGATATTGTTCTATGTGCAATCCTTGTTTTATTGATTGCATGTAATATTCTAATTTTCTGAGATTGTGGATTTGGGTTTTCATGAGCTGTAAGCCATAATCATCACAATTATGACAAATCACGGCTTGAACTATCTTGCTTTGCATGTAATGAGTCTATCTCATATATTAGTTTCACCTTTTAACGTTACATTACTGAAATAAATTAACTTTTGAACGATATTCTAATTTTTTGAGTTTCACCTGTAAGTCCCCTTCCACATGGAGTGGTCTCTGTTGGAGTCAGATTGCTCATCAGGGTAGCCCGCTGTCCTCTATGGGCGGTCAGAAGTAAAACGGACCACCTGTCTGCTTATACCTGTCTGCCATCCAATCCATTCCGCCAGATGGATGAGGTTCGGATCCCCATTTGTCCGTTTTCAGCAGATAGAAATCGGATCAGATGTAAGCAATGTCAGTTTGTAAATATGTCAGTTTACACCTACCGCTCCAGAGATGAGACTGGAGGGTCCGATCGGGTCTGCCTGAAAAACGGACAGGGGAACCTTGTCGGTCCACTAGTGTAAAGGGGGCCCTATTGATAAAATAAAATGCCGCAAAATGCCAAAATATTGTGTGAACAATATACTTACATGACTAAACTACTGTTTGCATTGCAAGGTTCGGTGGTGTTTGATGGTCTGCAAAACACTTGCCCTGGAAATTCATTAGCTTGCAAAGCCTAATTTCAGAAAAGAAATCAAGAGATCAGATTAGCCTTCCAGTTTATTTTGTTTACTTTGACCTAAAATGTCTATATAGAAAGGAATACTGCTAAATTTAACTACAGTACAATTTTAAATAAAATACTTTAAATTCACTCTGGAAATTTGAACTAGATGGTTCACAAGATGGGAGCATTTTATTCACAACGGTTGGTCAGTATAGTGTAATCTAAAACATTTTGAAGGATGTTTTTTTTTTTTTTTTTTAATTTATCCAAGGGTCCTAGAATATGCATACTGTTTATGCAGGAAAAAATGTTGGTATGTCACATCCCATACTATATGACCCCACACATGCATACTGAGAACTTATCCTAAGTGTAATACCTCTTAGGTAGACGAAGCATGGAATTACCTATACAGCTCTCTAACACACCGTACAAATGGTAAGGCATAACCAATGTGCTTATATTCTCATAGGACAGCTCATTAAACCAAAAAGCCCTTCCATAAACCCAGCATTTCCAAAAAAGTAATGTGCAAAACTACCCGGGGACAGCGCTCAAAGAAATTATTTACAGAGAGATGTATGAAGGCTGCAAAAGGCTGAAAATGGTAGGGGCTTGGCTAATGGCTAACCCTGTCTTGAGTGATCTTACATTTGGTCAGCTTAACAAGCAACGGTTTTTTTAAACAAATACTGTGATGCGGCCGGCCGTCTGAGACATATGCCAGCCCTTCTCACCAACTCGCTCTCCTGCGCGCCCCAGGTGGGCAAAGGATCTCCAATCTGTGTCCTACGCGCTGTCACATGTGTAAAACAACAATCACAGCGGCCACACGTGATCAGCTGCAACACGCACAGAAAAATGCAAGTTTTCCAGCTCACTGGACCACAATCTATGTGAAAGCAGCCTGAGAGCGATTGTTACGGGGTCAGGTTAATTACGCAATTAACCCTTCACACTGCCCAGCAGTGCCACCCGCCAAGTTCTGTACAGAGAAGGAGGAAACTGTCACCAATCACCCACCTTAGCAGTACCCACTGTGATGTTTGAATAAGCAACTGCATACACACGGTCCCAGAAGTGCCACCTACCTGTGCCCAGAAGTGCAGACCTGTGCCCACCACCAGTGCCGCCCACCAGTGCCACCAGTCAGTGCACTCAGTCAGAGACAGGGATTTTTAGTTTGCATTAAAGAGCTTTAGAAACAGTTCAACACTTTTCAGAAAATAGGATTTATTACTAAAAAGGTCAAAATGGTGCAATAAAAATATTTACAGAAAAAGATGTAGCCCAATATATACTCTATACATACAGAGAGCAATAACACAGCAGTCCTGGTTTAAGCAGCGTTCAAGTGTCCTGAACAAAAGGGTAACTTTTTTTTTCTCCCAAAGTTGGTTCCAGATGTTAAAAGGGAGATCTCTTCATCTTACCTCTCTCAGGCCTGACAGCCTCTTTTCTAGGAACCCAGCAGGGTGTCTCCTAACAAGTTGCATGGGGAGGGACCAATTGCCTCAATTCAAAGTGTTTAGGCGGGGGACTCAGGCTATGACCAAATCCCTAGGCAGTTTAAACAAATATCATGGTCAATAACCTTCCATAGGTACATGTAGCATCCTATCCACTGTGTAGGATAATATGCAGAACGATATTCTGAATGTCCAGACATCAGATATGGCATATCTGCCTGTGACGGTTAAAGAGATATCGCTTTCTGCTCTCGGGCAGACGTAATGTAGGGGTGTAAAGAATTAGGTGACTTGTATTAAAATGACCTCTTTGAATATATGCTTTGTATTCTTGTACGTATTTCTTACGAGAAGGGAAGTTTGCATTAAAGAGCTTTTAGAAACAGTTCAACACCGAAAATGATTTATTTGAAGTCCATATTTGACTGACCGTTTTATAGCTTTACGATCAGCTTCAGAGCAGAGAGTGGGACAGACACCCTGGCGTCAGCTAATTGGGTTTACAACCATCAAGGGTATCCAGCTGTGCCCTGTGCACTCCTGAACTCAGCACACACCAGACCACCCGCCACTCAACAGAACGGGAGGGGGGCTGGTTTGGAGTGAGGATGACACAAGATGGAGGATCTTTAGCAAAATGGACATTCGCATCCATATTTGTATGTACAATTGCTACAATTCTGAACTACCAAAAATATTACTATTAAACTGTATACATATCGCTTTTGGGGACTGCATATTAATATATGCTGAAAATTAGGTGACTTTATATTAAAATACCTCTTTGAATATATGCTTTGTATTGCATGCAAATCTTCTTACAAATTCAGCCATCTTATAATGCACTGATTTCTAAGGGGTTTCTTAGAATGCTTTTGAAGTCAATTTTGGTTCCCCTGCAATATCTGCCAGATCACCCTACGTCAGATAACTGGACAGGAGCCTAAAGCCCAGTGGATGTCCAATGGATCCAGCTACAAACTTTATTCCCCGCAGTAGACAAGTGGGTAGCACAATTGGTCAAAGCTTCAAAAGGGAGGGGACACAAAGGCCATGCCAGTACAGACAATGTATGGAGGTAGCTTCTTTGTGCCTATCAAAGGAATAGAGGGGCAAACATGCCTTATAGGGCCACATTCTGCTTTAAATCTGGATAAAGTTTACCATCTTTTGCACTGAAAGTTACACTGGTATTTAGGGTGCAACATGTTGAGAATCTTCCCCCTCTCCCTCCAATTCCCCCTTCCTTGTGACAGAGGGGAATCATTTCCCTGCACCTGCTGTCACAATTTGGAAACAGCATGGCCGTGCTGGGCTCCACTCACACGGCCATGTCATTCATTCACTGAGTTTTGTGAATGAACTACAGCTACCACCTGTCATTGTGGTGAGTGCTCTCACAGTTCATTGATGTTAAAGCAGTTCAGTAACTGTCTGCCTGTATGGAAGGTACAGGCAGACAGCTGACTGAGAGTCTGCAGGATAATTGCATTGCACCTGTGAAAAAAAAAAAAAATAATGCACTTTTTTTTTTTTTACCTGCAAAGAATGTGTAAATTTTTTTTAATGAAAAGTGGACTTCTCCTTTATTCGATCTCTGCTCTTACAATGGCAGTCAGTAGGATATTTTCTCCACACATTTGAGATGTTAGATAACTGTGCTGCAAAAAAAAGCACCCCTATCCGCAACAACTACAAGATGTGTGGTAACAGGAGGAACTATCCTGCCTCTCAGGTGGGAAGATACACCTTTAGTGCAACCAATCCTATATCACTTTATTACCATTACAAAATCTCAGTGAAAAGAAATGCACAAACAGTTGTGTAATCCACTCACAGTCAGACCATATCGAGGAATACTAAAGTACTTCAGCCACTGTAGCCAATCCATTATAGAAGTGACATTCACCAGCAAGCCTGAAAAGATCTAAAAGAAATAAAAGATTGACAAATGTTTAAAAAATATAGAGACTATGATAATGTTTTATAAAAAGACAAAAAACAAAAATAAGACTTTTACATTTAAAAGCTAAAAATACTAACTTTCTCTGTAAGTTTTTGTTAATGATTAGCATTTCCATTCCAGCTTGATGCTGACAACACTTTTGATTTCATAGAAAAAACAAATATAAAACTTTTTTTTTTATTTTTTTTTTTAAACATTTGATGCTACCCTTGGGGTGCATTAGGATTTCAAGTAAATCACCAGATTAACTATGGAGAATTGACAGGTAAAACATTAAACATATTTAACATGCACATTTAGTGGTTTGCTGTGAAATTTCAATATAAAATACACATGGGTTGAACTGCTAACAGCACTGTTTTAACAGGTGAACTTAGTTTATTTTTCACTGATTAAAATGCTTCAGTAATAACATATTGTACGTTAACTTCTAGGCAAAGAATGTGTTATGAAAAGAAAGAAAAACAAAAAAACATTGATTAATGACTCACTGTAATGTAATCAACTTTTAAATGTTACGGCTTTAGGGTGCCAGTGCCACCATCGTTTCTGATGACAACTGCTGGATATATCAAGAAAAGCAAATTGCAATATTCACTACATTCTCTACATCAATAACACAAGCTGATGTAACTGTACCAAATTCCCAAAACGCCAGCAGCTAATTAGACTGTCATTTTAATTTTCAGGAGAATACTATAGTAAATCGAGCACAAAAGACAGCGATACTCTGGTAACACTTACAATCATGAAGACAAAACATATTGTCATGAGCAGGTTAGCTACAGCTACAACATCTTGACCAGCGGCAATCGCCAGAGCCATGGATGTAGCCGTGTAAGAGATCATCATTAAGGTGAACATCATAATAAAGAAACATTCGGCTGTACGTTTAAATCCTGTAACAGAAAATGTAAAAACGATGGAGGTAAAAATGGCAAACTTCAGGATTCCAGAAAATGTCAAAAATCAATATGGGAAAAGCAGCAAGCTAAACTGCTCAAAGTCAAAACTAGTATAAAGAAAAGAAAAAAAAAAAAAAAAAAAACATTTATTTCTTACTTAGAAGCATACAATAAAACCTCAGTAGAAGAGATCACCCCACAAGAATCTTACCAATCATAAAGTAGATAATGCAGGTAAAAATAATGCTTGGCATTGTTCTCATGGGAAGTAGATCTGCCATCAATTTGGAGAAAAAGTAAGATGATAATCTGTAGTAGCCGCTGATGTATTCATGTCTGTGAAAAATTTTTTTATATATAGAATATATAATTAATATATATAAATATATATATATACACACACATACACACATATATACATATATATATATATATACACACACACATATACACATATACACACATACACTCACAGGAACCAAGATATGATATACTACACTAGATTACCATTAACATTTTGTGCTTAGAATTGTGAAACTTGACTACCACAAGACATAAGTTACTTTGATATGGAGGAGAGATTGGTGGACCCAGAGGGAAGGTTTTTATGTTTAAGAAGGAGAATGCGGGGACAAAGCTAAACCCTGGTTAATATTTACTGTCTGAATCAAAATCCAGAGGGATTTCTGTACGAAATGTTGAGGAAAATTATGGAGTTTAAAAAGGGAATTCTGGTCCTGGCAGGAGATTTTAATTTTTGCCTTGATCCATGGATGGATATGTCTTGGAGTGCGCAGGGAGGAGGAGGTAAAAAAAATTAGGAATGTTGAAAAAGAGGTTACATCAAAGTCAGTTAATAGATGCATGGAGGGTGAAACATCCTGGAGAAAGAGATTATACCTTCTTCTCCCTGGCACATAGATCGTACTCAAGGTTGGATTAAGTTACGATCGACCATAGACAACTAGACTCACTGGGTTTAAAACCAATATAGAAGTTATGTCTATTCTCTTATTCTCCTGTCACGGCGAGAATAAATATAGGTGGAGAAGAGAACAAAAGGGCAATGTGGAAATTGAACGAGATGCTTATACAGGATCCTGAAGTAGAGGAGGTTAAGGGAGGAAATAGAGCATTTTTTTTGCTGAATGAAACTGAAAAGTCTCTGTAGCCACTATCTGGGAAGCACATAAGGCATATGTGGGGGGAATCCTGATAGCCGCAGGAACTAAAAAAAAAAAAAAAAAAAAAAAAAGATCAGGACAGAAAAATAAAAAGGAGGTGATGGAGGTGTTGTATAGGCTAGAACAATCACATAAAAAGAGACAGGATAAAGAGGTTCATTTGAAGATTATACTTAAAAGAGAAGAGTTAAAAGACCTACTGGAACAGGGATCAAGAAAGATCTTCAATAGGTTTCAACGGAAATATATCAGCGGAGGAATAAGCCAGGAAAATATTTGATGAAAAGACTTAAAAGGAGAAGAAATCAAAGAATTATACTGAAAAAATTAAAGATGAAAAAGAAGAACTGGTCTACTCCACCACTGAAATTGCTGAAATGTTCCAAAAATTTTATAGTAGGCTGTATGATGTAAAACCTAGGAACCCAAAAGTCTCAGAGGAAGAAAGAAGGGGGAAACGCCAGAAATTTTTAAAGGCAGCAGACCTCCCAAAAATATCAAAAGAAAAATTAGTCTCATTAGAACAAGCGATCTCCCAGGAGGAAATTAATACGGCCCTGAAGAATACGGCAGGAGGGAAAAGTCCAGGACCCGATGGGTACACGGTGGGTTATTATAAGAAATTCTGAGACTTATTAGTCCCTAAATTTTGTATATATATGAACACCTTAGGAGAGGGAATGGGAATAAGAGCTGAATCGCTGCAAGCGTATATAACGGTCATCCCAAAAGATGGAAAGGACAGTTCACAATGTGCTAGCTATAGACCCATACCACTGCTAAATATAGATACTAAACTGTTTGCGAAGGTGCTAGCTACAAGGTTAAAAGAGTTAATCCCAGAATGGATACATTCGGACCAGCTGGGTTTTGTCCTGGGAAGGGAAGGGAGGGATAATGGATTGAGAACCACGCTTCTTTTACAGAAGGCAAAGAAAGAAAAGTTGCCAACAATCTTATTGTCAATCGATGCCGAGAAAGTTTTAGACAGGGTAGATTGGGGATTTATGATGGATACCCTAGAGGCCTTGGGAATAGAAACTACAATGGCCCGTCTGCCGAGGTGACGGTAAATGGGTCCCTCTCGAGGTCCTTTAAGATGTATATTGTGTTTTATATTGTGAACCCAGGGTTAACTCTGCCTAACCTATTGGGATTACTAAAAGGGTATGGAGAGCTTTCAAATTTGAAAATAAATCCATCAAAATCAGAGATCTTGAAAATCAGTGTTTCAAAGAATGCGATGAAGACTTTACAAAAAGACTTCCCATTTCCATGGAGGAAGAAGGAATTAGGTTACCTAGGTGTAAAGTTGACCCCTTTTATAAATAATATAGACCAGGTAAATTATATTCCTTTAATAAATTAAATAAAAGATGAGCGGAGAAGACTCTAGGGGAAGGGTCTCTTGGATCGGACGCATAAATCTGGTTGGTGGTGATAGTCCCAAAAATGTTATATAAAATTTCACATGCTCCCAGTCCATATTCCAGGATCCTTCATTGGGATAATAAAAAAACGAATACTTAAATATAAATGGGCTTATAAGAAACCGAAAATTAGGTATGGAGTACTGTGTAATAAGAAAGAGAAAAGGAGGACTAAACCTGCCCAATATTAAGAACTATTATACTGCGGTGATGTTGTCACAAATTGTAGATTGGACATACACCTTTTATTTTAACCCAACTCTTCCCCTGTGAATTATATTAAGTAATACACAATTAGAGAGGATTATCTGGATACCAGGAAAGTTTCGCACAAAATGATGAGACTAGTAGTACATTGATAAATGAGATTTTAAGAGTATGGGATAGAATGCACAATCAAAATGGACTGGAAGTAGAATTCACCACTGATTCCCCTGGTGGGTACTGATTTCTTCCTGCCGGGGAAGGACGTTTCTGAGAAATGGTTTAAAGATGTCGATGAACGTTTGGGGGACATAATACTTAACCTCCCTAGCGGTCTGATTATGTCAGTATTTCTTTGCTCAAAGCAGTACATTTTTTTGCATGGAAATATGTCGTTTTGTTATTGTAGGCCTTTTTTAGGAATAACTCACTGAAATCTGTCTGAACAAGAGTCTAGTAAACATCCCGGGTATGTTAAAATTTGAAACACGAAATCATACATTATAATTTTAATAATCATAAAAAAATAATATAATACATTTAATTCAATAATATAATCAAACCAAAAACACTGAAATTTGAAATAAAGCGCCAAGATCGCACATCACTGATCTTAGTCGCAAAATCGTTTTCAGTGTCTGATGACGAATTTCCCCACGAATCATTATCACTCAATTCTGCAAGTGGTTCTAATTTACTATCGCTGTTCTCTAGCTGGTCTAAAACCGCTTTTGACCTAAAAGGACGCTTTTTGGACGCTTGGACATTTCTCAGTTTCCAGGCAGAAAGAACAGTAAAAATGCAGGCAGGGCACAGGACAAAGCACTAGGGAGAAAATGTATGTGAAATGGTTTGATACAGTAATGTTATACTGTGTGATTTTAGTGTATTTTTAGTGACTTTTTGACATTTTTAAATTTCCCGCCGCTTCCATCCCCGTACGTCCTGACGTCGCAGAGAACGGAACCCCGGAAGAGGGATGCCGGCATCGGCTGGAGGACATGGCTGGGGGCGCTGCAGGGGGGACATCGCAGGAGCGAAGGACAAGGTAAGTGCAGAAGGGATCCCGGAGCAACGCTGCAGGGTATTCCCGAGTGTAGCTTGGGGTTACCGCTTTTGCTGCTGAAACTTTACCCCGAGCTAAACTGGGGGAATACCTCCAGGGAAGTTGGGTACTTTTCAAGAGTTAAAGAGTAACAAAAAAGAGTTTTTTGTTTCTTTAGATGAATTGAGGTATTGTCAGTTAAGACATTTTGCTGCGAAGTTGCCAGAACCACTGAGGATGATGGAGATCATGCTCTTTTTTGAAAAGATGTCGGGCTCCAGCATGTCGCCAAAACATGTTATTTCTGGGATATATAAGATCCTTGTTGAATTGGGGGGGGGGGGGGGGGGGTCAGGTCCTCCACTATTCTTAGAGAAATGGGAAAGGGAGCTGGGTACAAAAAAGAATGAATCACAGAAAAATAAAATGTTTAAATTAACACATGGGTCGATTAACATGAACACGGTTGAAATGAATTATAAATGTTTAACGAGTTGGTACTTGGCACCGAGTGTTGTATAAGCACCAGCGAAACAGTATAAAAAGTGTATTATGCCACCTAATCAGTGTGGACAGGGGGCTTATCCCAAAATTTTGGCAGGTGCATGAGCCTCCAACAATGAGGGACTGGCTAGATAGGGTGAAATATATAAACAGGATGGAGGAGTTATACCACACAGACAAAAGGTAATATGGGTAAATTTAGAAAGGATTGGGGAAAAGGGTCTGATTTGAAGGCATCAGGAAAATATATGGAAGTAGTGGGAGTCCCAGGGATCTGATGTGAGGTAGGAGAATAAAGGGAATGTTTTGTAAGGCAGTAGCAGGAATAGGAGAAGCGAAAAGAAAAGGTTGGAGGGAAAGAAAGAATAGTTAGTAAGAAAAAAAAGAGGAGTTGGAAGCGAGGATTGAGGAGAACGATCATAGGTATAGAACGGAAAGTTGGAAAGAGCTATATGGACCTGGGTAAATCGTTAAAGGGGATTAGAAAATTTCAGAGGAATGTTCGTATTTTTGGATGTAAATGATATTTTGCTGTGTGTTTTGTAATGGAAAAAGAAAACAAAAAAGTTTAATAAAAGTTGTAAATAAATCAATAAAAGAATCCTGAAACTAGATATGAGGTGATTTAATACAGTATATTTTCTAACACTGTTTGATGCTTTATAAGAAAATCTGCAATTTTTTCAAATAGCACAGTGGCGAAGCATTTAGCACTTCTGCCTAGCAGCACCAGAGTTGTCGGTGCAAATCCCAACCATGGGACTACCTACATGGAGTTTGGCCACAAACTCCCTGTGCGGGTTTCCTTCCACACATCAAAGACATGCTGGTAGGTTAATTGGCTCCTGTCTAAACTGGCCCTAGTATGAATGCGAACTAGTTTATAAGCTCACGAGGGCAAGGACTGATGAGAATGTACAGCACTGTGCAAAAATGACTGTGCTAAACAATTACCTGTAATAAATAAATACAGACCACTTATAAGACTGGTGCAAGCTAAAATAGAATATTTGTGGTTTACTAGAATTTTTATACTAGTAAATCATGCAAACCTGTAGTACAAAAACAAAAAAACAACAACAAAAAAAAAATATACAGGCCCCCTTGCATAAGTCTTCCAGTGTTCTAATCCCTGGGTAATACATATAATAGAAAATAAAAATTATAGACTAAGTCTATTTTGAAGCAGGGTTCTCAGGTGTGGTAAAGTAAAAGGCTTGAGAAGGGAAAAGTACAGTAGGTGTATGCCCTTTTAAAATATACAAGAAAGAGTATTACATTTAGGTGAAAGTACTACTCATGAAACCAGAGAAAGTAATAATAGAGTGTCTGAACAAGTATCACAAAACTTCCACCCAAACTTAAAAAATGACTGCATAAGAAGGTGAGGTCTGCATTATTAAAGCTGCATTATAAATTCAAATAATGGCTTACTTTGCTAAATTTTTGCCTAATAATCTTCACCCTGTCATGACCCAGCTCACTCATAAATGTGGAGTATGGATATCCCTGCCACTGACTCCTGTGGGTAGGGTCAATTTAATAAAGATGACCTTTCTACCTAAATTTCTATATGTGTTCCGCAACACCTCTGTAATTATCTCCAAGGTCTTCTTTGACAAGATTGATCCACTACTTACCACATTACCACATTTATCTGGGCTGGGAAGATTCCACAGTCAGCAAAGACTACCCTATCTCCAAAAGGTGGCTTGGCCCTTCCTAATTTTATGCACTACTATTGGGTGACGGTCTTGGTGACTGTTCGTTGATGGTTTGCACAACTTCGGGGGATCTCTGTGGTGAGCTCAAAGGAGACTCTGTTAGGCTACTATGCAGAAGTGAGCAATGTGGTTTTTCAAGGTCCCTGGTCTAATACAGGCACATCCAATGCACACTACGACTGTGTCTGGCAACATGTGACTACATTTTTAGGGGACCCCGACACAATTTCCCCTCATACACCATTATGGGGTAATCCTACTCTCCCACATCTCCAATCTATTCCAGATCCAATCTTGTGGGCGAGACATGGTATCACGGCCCTTAAACATGTTATCCCCCATGGATCCCTCCTTCCATTTAATACCTTAAAATCGGAATTCCAACTTCCTAACCATATGTTTTTCAGGTACATTCAATTGAGCCGCGTGATTAGAGCGCAATTTCCCACCATGGTTACTTTGGCATCTCATTCAGATGAGCTCCTTGACTACTCTCCTCAATTTAACTGAGAATTGCTGGGAAGGAAACAGCTAAAGTTGCCAAACTGTGTCGGACCTGGCAGAATGATCTCCCTGGCCTTACTGCAGACGATTGGGGGGGGGGGGGGGGGAGACATATAACAATTTATACCACTGATGATATCGGCCAAAGACAGATTAATCCAACTTAATTTCTTACACTGTGCAGATTATACTCCGCAGAGGCTAGCTATCATTTACCCTACAGTTAACAAATATTGTCCCCAATGCTTGTCAGAAGTGGGCTCTTTCCTAGACATGATTTGGTCCTGGTCTAAACTACAATCCTACTGGCAGGGAGTGTTGGCGGATCTAAATACTATCCTAGATCTTTGTCTTTCCTTGTACCCGGTCTTTCTCCTGCTGGGTATGGGAGTTCAGTTGGATGTTTCCTTCCACCAAAAAGTGCTTCCTCTTTTATGCAGTGTTCTACAAATGACAACTTATAATGATCACGTGGAAGCCACCCATGATTCAGCAGTGAAGAACTATGGTGTACCAGGTGCACTATATGATCTATATGGGTCATAATTGCCCTAAAAAATTTAATAAGATCTGGGGTCCTTGGGTGGAGGCTAGGAACTTGTTTTTATGATGCTAAATGCCTACTCTCCTTCTTCCTCTTCCCTATTTCATGAATGGTATATTACTAGCTCTGCGTGAGCATCTTGTTTAAACAGTAAAAAGGGGTGCATTGTACCTGGGATCTCTGCCTCTCTGCAAGTGGTTTTTGCCAGTTTTCTGCTGAGCACCTTTTCTTAACTGTAGGATACTGTGTTATTCATTCTCCTCCCTCCCCGCTCCTCCCTCTCCCCATCCTCCCTTTCTCCCCTCCCCTCTTCATCTATCCGAGGGTTGAATTATGGAGTGATTGTTTTCCTTGTTGTGCACCTATGTTTTTTATGATGTTATACTGCTCCTTTTCCTGGACTATTCTGCTGCTTCAATTGCTGTATCAGAGAAATATCTACACCCTTAATTGCATATACTGCTGTTTATGTACCGTATTCACTTTTATGTATCTTTTGCACTATGTACCAGACAGACATTTTTGAATTTTATATTGTTTCCTACTTTTATGCAAAACAAAAAATAAATCTGTTTTTAAAAAAAAAAAAAAAAAAAAAAAAAAAGCTGCATTATGTGATAGTACAAGCTAGAAGAAGCACATCATGTGATGCTACCATGTGGTTCACCAGAGGGAAAAGATTATTCATGCATGGAATTTTCAAGTGAAGTCTAATTATAACATGGTCCAGCATTCATACCAGGAGCACTAGCACTGCTAGTCTCCCCCACCCCTATGATTTTTTTTTTATTTTTATTATTCTTAACCCCTTCATGCCTAAGGATACAAATCGTAATGCTTAAAGTAAAATTTTGCAACTTTGACATGTATTAGTTAAACCGTACATATCACAACTGATTTGTACACCCAGGTGAATTATACCTTGTTTTTTTTTTTGTTTTTTTTGTTTTTTTTTTAAGGACAAATTGGGCTTTCATTTGGTGGTAAATGGTAATGGATATCCCCTGATTTTTTTTTCATTATCTAAGGAAAACTGGCCCTAAATAGTGTAAAAAAAAAAATTTTTTTTAAAAATGGTGGTAGGTTATGGTAGTAACAAGAAACACACACCTACAAACAACCCAAAATAAATTCTCCAGCTCTTGATGATCGCAGTGATACCACATATGTGTATGTTATTTGTACCCGTAGTACAGCCCAGAAATAATGTGAATTTTGCTGCTTCCCCCCCCACTAACTGACCCTGATACTAATTTTAAAAATATTAAAAACACAATTTTTTCCCTCTCTGCAAAGGAGAGAGAAAGAGAGAGATACAATGTCTCTCTCTTCTCCTTTCAGAGAGAAAGAAAACATGGGGGCAGGCTTCACAGTAACTGATCACTATGATAGCCAATCAGAAGCTATCACATTGATCAGGCGACTCGGAACTGGGAGTTCCGGGTCCCGATCGTTAGTACGGGACCTGGGGCTCTCGGTGACATCCTGGTCTCTGCTGGGAGCGCACCGTGCGGCGTGCTTCCAGCACAAAGGGCAGATACACAAATATGCAGCCCCACGGAAAAAAGTCAATTTCTGTAAGGCCATATATTTGTGTGATGTTGGCGCCAAGGGGTTAAAGTGGGGTTTCTAAAGCCTAAAGTTTTTTGGGTTTTTTTTTTTAACCTTAAAAAAAAAAAGTGTTACTAAACCCAGGACCCTGCATTCACTATATCTGGTCTCCCACAGTACAAACAACATGGAAATGCAATTATTTTATCAAATATAAACTGCTAAAAACCTTTTCTCACTAGTAGTATATAGCAGTCTTGTGACTTCTATCAGTGTCCTCCTACAAAGATTTAACTAGTGCTTGGTCGGAGTTTTAATAACCCTCTGACTGTCCTATGAGGTTGTAGGATCCCTGACCCTGTTTGGACAGTGCTGATCACATGCACCCTCCCAAAAAAAAAAAAACTCTAGTAATACACACCAAGTTGAGCATGTGCAGAGTGACTCCTAGAGCTCTCTACTATCAGCAGATGGATTGGGGACAGTAGAATTTTTTACAAATCTCTTCCATATTATTTGTACCTCTTGCCAAAATGATTTATCATAAAAGTATGTAAAATCTCACACAACAGAATAAATAATCTAATATTCTACCACTAAAGTGGCAGCAGTAGAGAAAGTCACTCACATAAATATCTTCTTCTCCACAATAAAGAGTTCAATCGCCGACACACTGCTGAAACACTGATTTGTAGTTATAAAGAACAAGGCTCCAACTCTGAAAGTAAAACAATGTCATTGTTAACAAGCAAAGAAATCAGGCATTGCCCACCTACTTTTTTGTTTGATATACCACATGATTAGTCATGTTTACAATAACTATAGCGAATACTGTTAAGACACTAAACACTATATCTTTATACCCGTGGGCAAGTTTCTTTCAACTGCCAGAGCCATTTTTGTGTTTTTTTTGCACAAGTAAAAAAAAAAAAAAAAAAAAAAAAAACAACACCACACCAAATGCCATGGGGTGCCCCAAGATTATGCATAATTTTAAAAGGGGCCATTACTAAATAAAAAAAAAAAAAAAAAAAGAAGAAGGTTAAGAAACACTGTATTCAATGTAAACTTGCCCCTAGGTTTATTTTACGGACATTATTCAGTTCAGCTCTAAATCTACCAACCTGTTTTGTACTCCGTTTTGATCATCCTTTACACCAAAGAAAATGGCACCGACAATCAATGCAAGCACAGTAGTAACCATTACCTGTTAAAGAAACAAAAATATTTCTCCCAATTAGATTTAAGAACTAATCAAAAGTGTATTTTTATCAGGATTAAAGTCAGATTTTAAAAATCATTAAGCTTACACATGGAATAAAAATACCTAGTTTTTTATTAAAGTTTTAATACAAAAAGAGTGGAAGAAAAAAACAAAACAAAAAAGGAGGCAACTAAATACCCGAAATAAACTTGCTCATGACAAGGTGCTCACGGCAATACAAGGCAGATCTCAGAAATAATTCCAGTAGTAGTATGACACTTCCAGGGGCGTAAGATATGGAAGAGTAGAGTAGCAATTCAGCAAGAAAAGAGGGAAGAATACAGGTAAAGAAGAGAAAAAAGTGGGGAAGAGGGGAGAGGCAAGATGCCTAGTTTTATTCATTTGCATGAGGAATAAATGTATATTAAACACACTGTAGTGAATTTACAAAGTAAACTGTAGAATAAAATTAGTTGACTATTCATCAAACCCAATGTACTGCGGTTGGGCGTTCGCTACAGGACCAGTACGTCGCTGGTCTTTTGCCAACACAGAGGGGCACTACAACCCCCCCCCCCCTCACAATGACAACAAAGCTGATTCATAAAAGCTTTGCTTTTGTTAGTGGAGAGCAGCGATTGGTTCACAGCTCTCACAAGACCTTGTACCATGTGACCAGCTGGAGCCAATCACAGATCACTATTATATTGAACGGTCATGATGGTTCAAAGCAAGCTTTGTATTGCATGCAAAGCTTTGTATTGCATGCAAAGTGTACAGAAAAAAAAAATCACTGATCACTCCCCAGGGTAGTACAATATAACTATGGTAACATTGCAGAACTCTGATAAAAGTATTTAAAAAAAAAAATAAAAAACTTCAACTACTTGCTGCCTGCCAACAATGTGTGGGCGAGCGGCAGCTCTGGGCAAAGCGGCGTAATCTTATGTCACCTTCTGTTTAAAGGTGTGCATGTGCCCCCCCCCCACTGCCCCTATGTTGTCCAGGGAGAGAAGAGGGAACTGGGCACTAAGTAAAAGCACTCCATTTTACACGTACATATTAGATTAGCTCATTTAACTCTTTGATCGCCCCTAATAACTCTTTGATCAACCAGTCACCCGGCCAGTGCCATTAGTACATTGTCAGTATACAGAATTTTTCACTGATCACTGTATTACTGCCATTAGCGACATCAGATAACGTCAGGGTCAGTTAGCATTAGATTGCCCACACACTATCACACTCACGCTATAGGTTGCTGATCACCGCCATTACTAGTAGTGTTTGTACAGATCAATATACTGACTGCAAAACAGAACTATACTAGTGCCTCCTTTGTTTAGTGTCCTAAAAAACACACAGTGTTAGCAGGATTGGCCCAGTTTGCTGCCAGCACTAGCATTTATCCCCTCCACTGTTTTTCACAGAAGATTTGTATCAATTGATTGTGGGCCAAAGCAATTTATATGCACAATACATCGCCGCCCACCCAAGCTCCGCCAGACAATTCGCATGGAAACCTATCACAGTTTCTGAATTTATAACTTTTTTGGGCCTAACCCTCAACATCAGCATTACAAAAAAGAATGAATTCCTACCACTCCATCCCCCATAGCTATCTCCTCCTGTGCCACCATCCCCTCCCTCCTAGATTGTAAGCTCGAAAGAGCAGGGCTCTCAATCCCCTCATGTTTTGCATTGTATTGGTATTGTTCTGTCCCCCTTTGTAATGTACAGCGCTGAGCGAACTATTGGCGCTTTATAAATACTGTATAATAATAATAATAATATTGGTCCACACACCCGATTCATCATATGCCCATGTTCTCTGCTGTTACATATATACCCAATATGGACCAGCAACGTACTGGTACATCGCTGGACTTTGAATGGTTATACTGGGATGTCTGCAGCTACAGGCATCATCTTGATATCATTTTTTTTTTTTCAGCTGGCGATCGGCTTTCATGTAAAAAACAATCTTAGCCGCTAATTGGCCGCTGGATTGTTTTTACAAGCAACATGAAGGACTCCACCACCCCTCCCACTGCCATCCAAGGTTTTCTTGGGCTCTCCCATCCCACCGGAGAACCCAAAAATGCAGCCGGCAGTTCTGCTGGCTGACAAATGGAGCTGATCGGAAACTGGAATGCTTACAATCATCTCTATGGTCTACGACAGGGGTTTCCAAACTTTCCAAGCAAAAAGGGCCAGTTTACAGTCCTTCAGGCTTTAGGGGGGCGGATTATGGCCAGTGGAAAGAGAAAATACCTGGCATCAGCTTCCCATCATTAGTTTTAATGGGAGGAATAGTGCCCATTATTGAAATCAATGAAATGGTGCTCCAGCATTGGTGTCAGTTGGTAGAATAGTGCCTCAAGGGCCAGATAAAGGCAAGCAAACAGCCACATCTGGCCCCCCTGCCACAGTATGGAAACCACTGGTCTAAGACTGCTAGCTATGAGCATTTCATCATTTCCGTTTTGCTGGATATTAACAGCGCCATTTTTAAATTGGGAAAGCATCTGATCACACACTGATCTTGGTGTGATCAGATGCTTTAAAAGGGCAGAGGATAGATCTAGAGTCTAATAGACCCCAGATTTCACAGAAAAGAATACCTGTCAATGCCTATTGCTATCACAGGGGATATTTACATTCCCTGTGATAACAATAAAAGTGTTCGGGGAAAAAAAAAAAAAAAAAAAAAAAAAAGAAGAAGTACAGTGTAAAAATAATGAAAAAAGCAAAATAATAATTACATTAAAAAAGTCACCCCACCCCCATACTCGCACACAAAGGCAAAACACATGTGGTGGTCCCATGGCAGTATATAAACAGAGATTGCACCATGCATGTGAGGTATCACCACAATTGTCAGATTGAGGGCAGTAATTCTAGCACTAGACAACCTATTTAAATCTGAAGTGGCGACCTTTAAAGGCTTTTAAAGCGCTGCCTATAGATATTACAAATGTACGTAATTTGTCGTCGTTGCACGGGCGTGCGCAAGTTTAAAGCATGTCAAGTTTGGTATCCATTTACTTGGCATAACATCATCTTTTATATCTTATCAAACAATTGGGCAATATATTGTGCTTTTGTGCATTAAAATTCTAAAAAGGTGTATTTTTTCCAAAACATTTGCTTTTGAAAAATCGCTGTGGAAATGCTGTGTGCCATAAAAAAGTTGAACACCCACCACTTTATTCTCTAGGGCCTCGGATTAAAAAAAATTATTCATTGTTTGGGGGTTCAAAGTAATTTTCTAGCCAAAAAACTGTTTTTTCAAGTAAACAAAAAAAGTGTCAGAAAAGGCTTGGTCTTCAAAAGGGTCAGTGAGTGATGTCTGGCATAAAAGTTTCTGATGTTGGCCCTGAAATGCAAAGATAGTAGAAACACTCCCCACAAATGACCCCTTTTTGGAAAGTAGACACTCCAAGGTATTTGCCAAGAGGCACGTTGAGTATTTTGCAGATCTCGTTTGTTGCCACAAGTTTTTGGAAAACAAAGAAAGAAAATGAAAATGTATTTTTTCTTTTCTTTTTTTCTTTTATTCTTTTTCAAAACCTTGAGACAAAAAAAATGATATCTGCAAAATACTCACCATGCCTCTTATCAAATTCCTTGGGTGTCTAATTTCCAAAAAGGGATCATTTGGAGGGAAGGGAGAGGGGGTGTTTGTACTATCCTGGTATTTAAGGGCCTCCGAAACTAATAGGTAGTGAGGAAGTGAGCCAATTGAAAGCCTGGAGGTAGTCATTGGATTTTGGGGGTGTGTATGTGGCTAGACTCACATGTGGTATCCCCATACTCGAGAGAAGTAGCAGAATATGTTTTGGGGTGTTTTTCTACATATACCTATGGCATGTGGGAGCAATATATCATTTAACTGACAACTGTGTTAAAAAAAAAAAAAAAAAAAAAAAAAAATTGTATTTTGTCATTTTCCAAACATTTGTGGCAAAAAATAAAAAATGTTCCATGGACTCAATATGCCTCTCAGCAAATTCCTAAGGGCGTCTTGGTCATTTGGGTTTTTTTTGTACTGATCTGGCATTTTAGCACCTCAAGAAATGTGATAGGCAGTCTGAAAATTAAAGCTGCGTAAATTCCAATACATATATACACACACACACACACACACACACATATATATATATATATATATATATATATATATATATATATATATATATACACACACATATATATATACACACACACACACACACACACACACACACACACGGAAAAAAAAGTATTTAGTCAGCCACCAATTGTGCAAGTTCTCTCTCTTAAAAAGATGAGAGAGGCCTGTAACTGGCATCATAGCTAGACCTCAACTATGAGAGACAAAATGAGGAAAACAAAATCCAGACAATCACATTGGCTGATTTGGAAAGAATTTATTTGCAAATTATGGTGGAAAATAAGTATTTGGTCAATATCAAAAGTTCATCTCAATACTTTGTTATATATCCTTTGTTGGCAATGACAGAGGTCAAACGTTTCCTGTAAGTCTTCACAAGGTTGGCACACACTGTTGCTGGTATGTTGGCCCATTCCTCCATGCAGATCTCCTCTAGAGCAGTGATGTTTTGGGGCTGTCGCTGGGCAACAGGGACTTTCAACTCCCTCCAAAGGTTTTCTATGGGGTTGAGATCTGGAGACTGGCTAGGCCACTCCAGTACCTTGAAATGCTTCTTACGAAGCCACTCCTTCGTTGACCGGGCGGTATGCTTGGGATCATTGTCATGTTGGAAGACCCAGCCACGTTTCATCTTCAATGCCCTTGCTGATGGAAGGAGGTTTGCACTCAAAATCTCACGATACATGGCCCCATTCATTCTGTCCTGTACATGGATCAGTCGTCCTGGTCCCTTTGCGGAGAAACAGCCCCAAAGCATGATGTTGCCACCCCCATGCTTCACAGTAGGCATGGTGTTCTTTGGATGCAACTCAGCATTCTCTCTTTCAGACACGACAAGTTGTGTTTC